TCATTGATGAGGATAATTACAAGGATATTGCATGGCCATAAGTTACAAACAAAACAAAAGTTCTTGTGCCATAAAGGAGTTTATATACAGAATTTAGAGTTACAACAAAAGTCAGGATTCTAAAAGCGTCGATACATGCATAGTGACTGAGTTATACGTCCTTACTTCTCTTGATGTGGCAACACAATTCATTTTGCACCTTGCTCCATTAAATGAGATTTTCTTCCAAGATAGTATTTTTCCTAAACCTAGAGGATTATTGACTTTTAGACATTGGTTTGTTGCCTTCACTTGTACCTTCATTTCCTCATGATTCAAACCGGCAAACATTTGTTGAATGTCCTGTCTTTCCACAATAGTTGCACGTTGCAGGTGGTTGTGTATAACTCCTCACTAGATGTGGTCCTCCACATCTAAAACATTTTATTGAATTAAAGGGATCCTTGTCCTTAGATGTGGATTTTTTAATTTCGCCAATGCTTCCACTTCTTTGAGGTGCATGCCAACAAACACTTTCTGTATGCCTCATTCTTCCACAATGATTCATTTCGCTTGAGCGATGGGTTCCAGAACGTTCTCTTTTAGGAAATCTTACGTCACTTGAGCGAGATCTATCTTGCTTAGACAAGATATCCTTTATCCAAATTCCTATTTTTCCTATCTAAGAGTAATAAAATTGAGGGTGTTACAATATGGTTTTAACTTGGTTAATAATTTAGTAAATTAATTGTTAGATGCTTAAGAGATAAAGTATCATAAAACTACTTTTATTGATTGACAACATAATTATTTAATTAATTAGACTTAGAACATAGCAAATCTTATTGTAGATGACCTATGATAATGTAGGTATACATAAATCGTATCAACTTATACCACTTGACGATAGAGAAGTTATAACTAGTGTCATATATTAATACAAATATTTTATTATCTATTTACTTAATTTTAGATGATAAATTTTTTATAATTTAGCATGAAAATAGAAAGAAATAACACATAAATGTACATGAAATAATATCGATATCTTACACATATAAAATGAATGAAGTATGAGATGATACATTAAAAATTATTATTTTATTATTATTTATATAATAAGAAATATCTAAATTTATAATAAAATAAAATAAATGTTAAGATAAAAATACCATAATAAATAAAATAGATTTAGATATAAAATTAATAATAAATTAAAACTATTTTAACAATCATGTCTAAATAAATAAATAAAAATTCATATATATTCTTTTTTAAAAGTGAAACACAAAAGACCAAATTGCATGAATAGGTGAAATAAAAGAAAAGAAAATAAAAATGAACTTAAATGCTCATATTGAAAAGTGAAAGAAAAGTAATCAAAGACATTAACTTAAATGAAAGAAAAGTAAAACATGTAAAAGGAAAAGTAAAAATGCGTGCTCAGATTAAAAAATTTAAACATGAAATTACATGTATTAGCTTTTTCACTTTTTATATTTTTTAAAAGGAAAGGATTAGACATAGATTGTAAAAGAAGTGGTGTGTGTAGTTTTTGTTCACATGCATTCAACAACTACTTCAATAAAAAAGAAAGAAATAATATTTTAAGTTTAGAGACTGCAAATGTCGATAGAGTTGAGAGTAAGGAGGACACATTTATCCAAAAGAGTTTGTTGTTGCTAAAGAGTCTACGGAAAACAATGGAATCGACAACAATATGAGCCACAAAGGTAACTTTTTTTTTTCTTTTTATTGTTTAATGGTGCTATCTTTCTTGACATTTTAACTTGGCTAAAGATGAAGGCTTTTTTTTTAGACTCTCTTTACCTTCGGTCCTTTTCTTTCTCTTTCTTCTCTGTTTTCTTTTGTTCTCTTTCTACTCCCTCTCCAAAGAAGAAACTTTCCTAAGGGTTTTGCTCTATTTTCTCTGCGATATTTGCTCCTTTTTTATAATCTCATATGTCCGTCTTAAAAATTTTGCCTCCCCTTCCCTCGAATATCTTAGTTGTGTATTTATATGGTCTTCATTTTGTGCTTTTAAGGTTCTTACAAAATGCCATATTCTTGAGTTTTTTCCTTTCTTATGTTTAAAGTTTACTTTGTGTGTTGGGTATAAGCCAGCATAATGCAGAATTTCTTTTTCCAAGAGCTAAGCTTATTTTCTAAAGTTTTCCATTTTCCTATTAAAGCAATGTTACTATTTTATTTTTATTTTTTATTTTTATATATCTATATATGGAGGGAATCTCTTTTGAGACAAAAATTGGTCTTCACAATACCCTTTCCTTTGATTCTCTTTCATTAAAAGTGGAATAAATGAATTTTTGCTCAAGTAAAAAAGACATTCTCACTCAAGCGAGATCCCTCATTTGAGTGAAAACAAGACAAAAGCTCAAGTCTAGTACGCGCTTTCTCGGTCAAGTGAGAGATTCTCGCTTGAGCAAAAAAAGATTTAAGTTAACTCTTCATTTTCTATTTTCCTTCATCTTCATTAAGCTCCTTGAATTAGTAAAATTGCAAAAGAAGATTAAATGAATCTTCATTTCAATTTTTAAATCAAATAAGAACTAAATTCAAATTTTACTACTTGAAAGGGAATTGACATTTAAGTTCAAATCATTGAAGCAATTAGTGCTTAAATTCATGCATACATTCACTCAAATTTGACACTTATCAATGATCTTGAGTGAGTTTTCATAAATGACTATAAATAAAGGTTTTAGGCCTCTTGGAGTGGATGCAAATACCCTTTAAAGAAGTTCTATGATAATTTGGTGCGCTTGAAGGTACTTCAACTTCTTAGTCTCATTTGGACTAAATAAAGAATTGTAATAAAGCATCAAACTTTGTCGTCTTTAAACATCAAAGAGTCCAAGACAAAATCTATTGAAGAAAGATGATGAATGTTAGAGTGAGAGATGATGAAGGTTAAAGAGAGATAGTGATTGAGTGAAGCTGCTCAATGATGTAATTAAAAAAAAAAAAGTGGTCTCCTAAAATCATAGATGTTGAACTTCCAAAAAAAATTGAAAAGGAAAGAATATTTTAGTAAAAGAAATCAAAATAATGGTGTAAATAGTAAAAATAAGGGTTCAAAAAGTAACACGTTTAGTAAAAGAAATCAAAATAATGGTGTAAATAGAAAAAAATAAGGGTTCAAAGAGTAACACCTTCAATCACATTAAACAATCTTAGTAATAATAAGAGTTAATAATAATTCAATCAGTTGATTTTACTAATTTAAATATTCCATGTAATTAATCAACTTATAATTCTTATAATTGCATGTAACTTTCCAAGTCATAGAAATATAGTAAGATTAATGAGTAGTCCTAAAAATGATAATTTGAAAGATATGTCTTTATCAAGACTTTTCTTTGTTATTACTTGGTTGACTACGACGACTTAAGCTTAAGTGAAAAGGTTTCTAGGATCTCAGATGATGACTAGTTAAAATTTGGTATTAAAAACATGATTCATGAAAATAGGAATGATAAAGTTGAGAATAAAAAAATAAGAGAAGGGAGATTAAATTTATTTTCTCAAAAAATTTTAATTTTAATTGGTGTTTAAAATAAAATAAAATATTTTCTTTAGTTGAAAAACAATATGCTTATAAAATGTTTGAGAGTTGAAAGAATGAAAACCACACAACAATTTATGCTGGTTTACTAAAAAAAATAGTAAAACTATGATTAGTTCTTGATTAAGGACGAGATTTTTACTATTTTATTCGAATATGCAAACTATATATTTTACACAAAAAAGTATTATTTTACAAGTTTCTCTAAGCTTAATATACTTCAAGTATTATTGTAAATATCTACTAAGAAAATTATACCTCCAAGTATTACTAATGCCTCATTAGACTTTTATACACTTAGAAATATACAATAATTTTACACGTAAGACTTATTTTTGAATAATATAAAATTTAGACTGACAATTACTAGTCTTTTGCATATATAAATCTGTCTCGTTAAATAGCCTTGAACTTAATAGTTTATGTTAGACACTTTTAAATATTTGTTTGACCTCGACGAGCTTCTTCTTTTTTTCTTTTTTTTTTAAGTTTTCTATTGTTTACTATTCCAAAAGTGTTTTTTATTTTTTATTTTTTTCTCTTTTGTCTTTTTGAAGCAAGACATTAGGAACGAACAAAATGAACTTTTATCTTTTATAAATGTTAATGACTCTTCGTGAGAATAAATTTGTTTTATCGGTCAACTTCTTGGTTTTGTACACTTTATTTGACTTAAATTAATAGTCTAAGATAAATGATTATTATGATCTTCATTTCATAAGCCATTACCTTCAGAACATTTGTATTCATAAATAATCTTACAAGCAATTATTTCTATGTCAAATAGGATATAAAATTCGTCTAAGGTTTAATAATTTTCAATTATCAAACCTCGTTAAGAAATTTAATTAGGAGATTTGTCTTTTGCTTTAATAAGTGGAAATTGTAATTTTTTTTATATTTTTAATAAATTTTAATCAATAATAAATTATATATTTAAAAAAGCATATTAGAGAGCGTGTTAGTAATATTTCTCAAAATTAAAACATGATAGACAAAGAAAAAATATCCACGTAGCAAAAAATAAAAATAGTTGATAAAAAAAAAAAAAATTGCCTTTTAACAGAGTTCAAATGTTAAGATCAATTATGTATGTATCTGGTAAATCAAAAAAGTAGATAGATAAATGGTTAAAAAAAAAAAAAAGATAAAGAGAAATGTTCTAAAGTGGAGCAAGAAAAAGATTAAAGTAACTAAAAAAATGTAGAATATTATTTAGAACTTGATATCAACGGCTTCTCATGGCCTAGGTCACAAAACTGCAGCACTAGAAAACTGAAGTAAAAAGCGAGCTGTGGGAACAGAAGGAACCTCTCAAAAAAAGAAAAAAACTGACTCGTTTCACCGTTATTGATATACCGGTATGATGCATGGCTAAAACTTTCCATGAACAACTATTATATGTGCCTATTCATGGAACATAGCATCCTCTCTCCTACTTATTCTTGGTCTCTTCAGTCACGGTTTTCTTTGCTGACTCGTATGCCTCACCCACTTTGTGTTTAGCTTGGTCATAAGATTGTGCTGCTTTGTCTCCCACTGCATTCATTGTATCTTTTGCATTCTCTTTGGCATCTGAAGCCTTCTCTGAAGCATACTCAGAAGCTTCTATACAAATTAATAAAACAAAACAAAACTTTAATTGAATTGAATGCCAATTAAAATAAAAATGATAGATGGAAAAGAATGCAAAAACTGTCAATGCATAAATTAAATACCCAATGCTGTTGTTTTCACTTTGTCTGCGGCCTTTGAAGCTGCTGCTTCAACTTGATACTTCGTATTTTGAGCCACATCTTTTTTTTCCTCGTCTTCGTACCCAAAACCCCTAGGACAACAATTGCAATGGAATGAGCGAAAAAGTGAAATTATAGGTGAAAACTAGCAATGTGAGAATAATTGCTAAATTTGGAGAGTAGCAACATCAAACAATATGACAACAATCAATAAAACCTCGGTCTAGAAATGATATTTTTATAAAAGTTTTTTTACAACAATTTATACAAAAGCATAAAAAGATAAAGAAAATCATAACTTTTTAATTCATAAAATAAATAATGACATATTTTCATTTTTTACTCTTTTATATGAATTGTCTTAAAAAAAACTATTGTATAAGTACTAAATGTCTTTTCAATCAATATCCTTCTATAGACATGACAAATGGTCCAGGATTATCCACATACTAATGTTAGTCTTATTGCTCAAGTTTTTATTATTTTATGGTATCGTTACTCAAGTTTATGCATCCACTTAATTCTACTAGTATGAATATTCTCTACGTACATTCAGGTGATTTAAAGAATTAAAATGTTGGTTCATCCATTGAACCAAGACTCCAAGTTTGAACCTACCCATCAACACTCATTATAAAACTTTTAACCCATAAAAATCAAAATAAAAAAGGAAAAAGGGGGCAAAAACTGCTCTCGTAAGCATGCCTCCAAAGAGTCTAAGGTTGAAAAATGATGATTGTACATTTCTCAAGAAGCAAATCTATGAGTGAAAGAGAAGAAAAGATTACTGTTTAATCTTGCTATAAGCCCACTCAGCGAAATTCTCAGATTTTTCGGCGGCAACGTTAGCAGCTTCTGTGGCACCCTCCTTGGCCTCTTGTGCTTTCGCTTTGGCGTCTTCAACCAACTCGTCACTCGAAGACGTCCTCATGCACAATGCAAGGATCAGCATCAACACTAAATACTTTGTGGTTTCCATCTTCACTTTTCTCTTTTTCTCTTCTTTTCTTTTTCTTTCAAGTAAAACTTATTTGATTAATTGGGGTTCTATATTTGTGCATATATAGTGAGAAATATGCATGGCAAAGACATGAATGCCTCAGAATGATCCTCCACGTGGCACTCAAAGGGAACCCTGTTAAACTTGAAAAGAGGCATGAATGTTGCGCTGCATGCGCCAAACCACCAATCTTGATCGCTGTAACGGGTTTTGCTCCACCTTGGATTGTGGGTGACCTCAGTCCTTACCCATGCCAACCCAAATAATTACCCCACAAAAATTATAACATGTTTGACATAGCGTCTCTAGAGTTTCTTATCAGTGGAGAAATTATTACAGAATGGGAACTGGTAATTTTAGTATATTAAGTATAGAAAATTTTATTAAATATAATCCAGTTATTGATGTATTGGTGTTCGATAACTCATTTATTCCATATGAAAAGAAAAAGTACGAAAAATTTTATCTTTTATAATTAAAAAAAAAAAAAAACTGATATGTTAACACAGTATATATATATATATATATATATGGAGAAGGATATTTTTACACTAGTATAAATCTAAAAACTCTTACACTATATTTATAATTTTATAACATACTATCTATTTATCTATATATATTCTTTTAAATTCAAAATCTACCTCTATCTCTTACACACATTACTTATTTTTATTAATGATTTTAAATTTACATTGATGATTTGTATTTTAATAAAATTGTAACAACTCATAGTAACTAATAACTATGTTATATTAATATATGAGATTATTTAGATTTTGATACTTTAAATTAATTTAACTTGCATGTTTCATTGCGACATAAGGAGGCTTTTAATAACATTTAGAACCTCCGCTTTTTTTAATTGAATAACCATATCTTAACACCGACGATTTGAGTGTAGTGTAGGTAGAAAAAAGAACTAGATAGAAAAAAAATTAAAAAAGAAAAAAAAATAAAAGATATGATTGGTAGTGTGAGAGAAAAAAGAAAGAAAGAGATAGAAAAAAGAAAGAATCTACAAACTAAAGTGAATATAAAAATATAAGGGTTATATTAAATTAGATATGAAAGAGAGAGCTCTAAAACTACTATCATAGAAGAATTTTGTGAGTGAGTACTAAGACAAAATATAGTCCTTAATTACTTACGCACACATACATCATTCACAGAGAAAGAAAGAGTAGGAATTTAAAAAAAATTATGTACTTTTAATTGAGTTATGTGTTATCCTTTTTAATAATGTGTATTATTTTGTTAACTTTTATTTAATTTTTAATATTAAAATAATAAATTTATTTTAACAGTTTCTAAAAATATGCATTAGGACATTTTATTTTACTAAAATACAAGATAACTAGTTTAAGTATAGACATATAGATTGCTATATTAACTATGGTATGAACATTAAAGTTTGTAGACACGTGTTTGGATTCTAGTACAAGTCTTTCTCAAAGACCGTTTGTTGCTACCTTAACGAAGGTTGATAGGAAGATATTTTTTCTTGTATTGAGTAAAAGTGCATGAAAATTACACTGATTCCGTTTTATGTGTGCGAAACAGTAATATGAATAAGTTGTCTTAAAGTAAAAAACGAAGACTGGTGCTTTAATATCTTAACACAGATCCATTGTAATTCCTACTTGAAAGCAACTGATTTAGGCTTAATTTAAATTAACTTCTCAATAAATGCTAATGATAAAAATAAAAAATTAAAATGAATTATTTTTATCATTATAATTTAAAATTAACTTATGTAATTTTATTTTTAAGATTTTTTAATTAAATTCTTTAAAATAAGGCATGCATAAATTTATTTTAACTTATGAGAAAATTTTAATTATTTTACTCTTTACTTTCTTCTTTCATTAGTACTTATGCATAAACTTACTCAAACTAGACCTAACTGACAAAGAAATAATCAATCGATATTATTATTTATACATATTTCATTTATTATAAAATTGCTTTAACTTTTAAATTAAAATAATTTTGAACTAATAAAAAAATATATTAATAATATTTAGGTACTTATAGGTTATTTTTATTTCTACTATTTAACTTATATTAACTTATAAAATTACTTAGATATAAATGTTTGTCAACATAAATAAAAACTATGTAAATTTATTTTTGAAAATAATTAATTTTCTAAAAATGCAACTCATTGTAAATTAAGCTTACAAATTCTAATTCCTACAGTGCACAGTCAAATAAGAGCCCAAACACCCCGGTCCAAAACCTCAAAAGAGAAGGGGGATGGCCCTGGCCATGACCATTTCTCCAGTGTTGGGCATCCTCTAGTTGGACTTAGCCATGATTGAGACAATGATGCGGATATTAAACCTAATGAGGAAGAAAGAGGTTCAGTCCTTTTTTAAATAGTGAAAATTATAAATTTATATTTGTATTAAAACTTTCTTAGATATTTATTCCCTTTCCTTTAAAATTTTTATAATGTAAATTTAAAATAAAGCTCATAACTTCATTGGGGCACTGTTTCATTCAAGTAAAATTGTGTTGCCAACAAGACTAATTCAACTAACATTTGCTCCAATTTATTTGATTTACATGTGAGATGACTTTGTGTTTGTTTACCCATAACTCTTTTCCCATGTGCTAAGGGGCTCGCGAGTTTTTGATAATGATAGTTTACAGAGTAAAAGATTGCGTAATATCAAATTTTACACTTCATTTAATAACTATCTATTTTTTACTTTACGATATCTTGTCGTAGTCTATTTGGTCTACATATTGTGCATGTTGTCTGTAACTATTATATATATCCAACATTGCACGGAGATGGGGTCATACATGAAGATTTTTTGGATTCGCGTTACCTTCTCTCATTCAGTGTAGTTGAAAGGCTAATTTCTCGAATACAGTTCAGGTTACGTGGATCATTTTCGATGGTGTTCTTCTCATATAATAAAAGATCATATGGTCATGGAATCTTAACCCCTTTCACTCGGATTGACTTGGTATATATAAAATAAGATCATAAGATCACTTGGTGCTATATTAATAAAAATTAGACTAATAAGTAATTCTTCATTAACAGGCAATAATTAATACAACATTAATATGACATCACATCATGGAGAAACGAACCTTGGTATACAAAAAAGAAAGGAGGAAAACAGGGTAGAAGATTGCTGAAATCACATGGTAGGGTGCAGTAAGATTGTTTTTTATAGCTTGCTGCTTGAGATACACTATTTACTATTTATGGAAGATATGCTAAAGGGTATTCATGCTTAGTGGATTCTGAATCTTCAAGAACCTGCAAAGCGTGGAAATATTAGTCAGCAGAAATGGTTAACATACAAAGATAATGTAATGGGGCCAAAATTTTCAATTAAAAAATATCGTAGAAAACAAATGGTCTAAGCATGAAAAACAAAGAGATGAAAGATTAGTAGCATTAATTGCAGAGAGAACAAGCTACAATGCATGATACACGTTGAGATTTCAGACAGAAAAGCAGTGCTTTCTATGTCACAATCACATGGCTGTTGTGCTTCTTCATTTCCCTTGTTCTTTAATTTGCCCTTTGGTTCAAAGCACATGGCAGTTGTTTGAACTACCAAGTGTAGGGCCCGTAACAATTTATCAAGCAATGGACAGGATAGGCTTAGAATTTTCAGTGAGCTTAGAGATTCAATTTTTCATTTAGTGCAAAAGACAAGGCATTATTAAATGCATAGACAAGTAGTTGGGTAAACAAGATACTGGGTATTAGCGGAGAAAAACAAATGGACCACATAAAACTATCATTTTAAGGGCCATCTATTTCAAAAATTACCGTCTTATTCATTGGACCCCGCATCAAGCAGCATGTAGTACACGACAATCACAGTGCAAATACTAATTGAGATGTTATATGTTAAATTTCAATCAGATATGGTCACATCACATGACATGTTATAAAGAATGCTATCTAGTTTTCTGTACAACGTTAAAGTTAAACCGGCATTAGGTTGCTCATAGATTATGTCTGTAACACAAATAATAAAAACGAATCAACTGCAAGGAAAAATGTATAGTACCTGTGTTGTTCATTACCAAATACAAATACTCTTTTAAGTGTTGTTGCTGTTGGTTTTGTAACGAGGAAATGGGACTTGGCCATGTTCAATGCGTTTGACATCTTCCTTGAGGATCTCATAGTGCCTTTTAACCTCTTCAACTGATCTTCCCACCACATTGGCAACATTTTGCCACCTGTCTGGGGTTTCCCTGTCATATAAAGCCAGGGCTTGTTCAAACAGTTTGTTCTGCCTGGGAGTCCATGAAGATGCCATTTGTTGATTTGTTTTTTCTTTTTATCTGAAGTGAGAAATATTAAGCAATGGGAATATTAAGAGGCTATAAAGGATGATTATTTTAGTGCAGAGGAAGAGAATAGGAATGGTTAGTTTAGTCAAGGAAAGAATGAGGATGGGTTGTGTTGGTCAAGGGAAGAAGGCATGGGAAAGAGGTGACCCAGGTAGCTCCTTATAAGTAGGAGAAAAAGTGTTAGTGTGGGGTTTGAACCTGGTGGACGAATATATCTTCCAAAAGGACACTCAAGATAACGTGACCCGTCTCCTTAAGAGCCACAAGTGAAGCGGGACAATGTACAGCAAGTGGAGGATCAGAATCGAGATCAAAAGACAACCCTTTAAATTTAAACGTTTTAACCAAAGATGCTTCTTACCATATGGTTCATATCTTTGGCTAGTGGGCTTTCCTTTTTGTTTAAAAGTTGGTCAATTACTTTCTCAAAATTTACTCTGCCACAATCAAATCCAGGGAATAGCAACATTTGAAAATACAATCTTGATTCATAAATACTCTAAATTGAATGTTTATAAACTATTTTTCTCTAAAACATTATGTTGCATGTATCTTGTAAAACATACATTTTTGTCAGATACTGACATTTCAATTAGTCTTGGCTGAGAAATCACTCAAAATTTATGCTACAGCGATCATTTTGCAAGTCTCTTATGTTAGGATATAAGTGAATTTGTTTAGTTTAACGTTATTAGTTATAATTTTTACATTGGATCCACGTTTAGAAATTTTTTAACGTATTTTTAAACACACACTTAATCTTTAACTTAATAAGTGCTAACTTGATATGTAAAAGTGTTAGTATGACCGCTTAATCAATGTTATGTGCAATGTAAAGAGAGAAAAAATTAAATTGAAGTCAAATTTCATAAACACTGATCCCACTTAAAACCATAATGACAATTCATTCAACCCAAATTCTCCGTATTTTCCTTCCAATTTCAGTTATTAAAGTTAATAGAAAAGAAAATCTAATTGCTGCTTAGATAAAATACATGTTCTTCCAAAAACCCATGGGTATTGTCCTCCTTTGGTGGATTATAATATGCGTGTTTGGTCCTTTATTTTGTTTTGTTGATTATTTGTTTTTGTCTGTATGTTGCATGCGTGACTGTGAGCTGTGCTCTTCTATGAATCTGTACGACTAAATTGGGTAAACAAGGGTGAAACGTTGTATCTGATATGCAAAAAGGATTTCAGTGCAACAACCGAACAGAATATTTATATAATGATTTAAATAGGAATTTGGTCTCCAGTGTCACACAATTTTAATTGATTCATATAGGTAAAAAAATTAATTTAATTTCTATAATGTAAATTTTTTCAAAAGTTCCAACGTTAAGACTCGTCACAATGTCGTTCTACTTTTATAAATGTGACAATTATACATTTTTTCAACCAAATGTATATTGATCCTTGTATATGACGTATATTTTAATTCGGTTTTTACACATTATTTTTTAATTTAATTCGTAACTTTAATTTTTTGAATTGTCCTTTTTTTTTTTTTTACAAATATTAGAGGCCAAATTGAAAATTATTATACATGTAATAACTAAAATTAAAATTATGCAACACATGTAGAGATCAAATTCAAGTTTTATATAACATATACAGAAATTAGTGTCTAAGTTAGCATTTATACATGTAACGATTGAATTTAAAAAATATATATACATATAAAAGTCAAATTAAAAATGTGTGATATGTATATGGAACAAATTCATATTTTAAATTTTATATAATATTTCAAGGACTTAAATGTGTAATTACATAACATTTTAGACACCAAATTAAATGACCTTTGTTATATGTTAAGAGACTAATTAATATATCATACTTTCATTGTAAGAATTAATACCTACTCTTTAAGAGGTTCTACTAGAAAATACTTTCCAAAATGATGAATAATGTAGATATTTTTGCAAATGTTTAGGAAATAGGAAGTTAAGTCTGTATAATAATAAAAATATGTATGTGCCATTTGGCTTAAAATCATAAAGTATGACTCATAAATGAAATTAAAATTATTTTGCCTCAATATTCGTAAGTCTTACATTTAATTTTGACTAGAAATATAAAATTAGAGTATGAGAAAAATCAGTTAAAAATTGAAACATATTCCAAGGACAAACGAAGTCCATTATCGTCACAAAAAAACATTGTAACTATTAACCAACGAAGTAAAAATGTTCCACTTCTTATTTTCAATTTTATCTGTCTCTTCATGTGCCTTACTCTAAGCTTTTTTTAATTAATTTATTTACATAATATATAATTTCTAAAGATGTCATTTTTACATATAAATTAGCCTAAAAGTTAATTATTATTTTTTGATAAATAACTAATTTAGCATAGTTATTACTTCTATCTTCTTTTTATTGAATCGTACAATTTTTTTAATTTTTAATGCATTTAGAAATAATACTTATTTAATAATTTTTAAAATGATAACTTATTTAATAAATTAATAATGAAACGTATTAAGATAAACTTATTTTGATGTTATAAAAAATAATCATTGAAATAATTTAAAAATAATTTATAAGTATTTTTTATTTATAAATTTTTTAAAACTAAGATAAATATTTTTGGTCTTTAATTAATATATAAAACATATAATTTTTTTTCTTTTTATTCATTAAATTTGTCTCTGATAAAAAGATTGTGTCTATAAAATTTTTTAAAGCATTAACTTTCTTTCCGAAATCTTTTTCCCTTATAAAATTGACACTTTCGAAGCTTTTGCCCCAAAATAGTTTATAAAACCATAAATGTACTTCATCCTCTTTGTTTTATTATCAATAAAAACATATTCATTTCTCTACGACATTCTTCATATTTCTCATCAACATTACATAACTTAACATTTTCTATTTCATTTTACTAAACATATAAATAGTTTTCTTTTTTTTTCTCATCAATATTATAATTCAACTACGTTAACTTATTCTTTATAAAGTATTAATCTAAGTTATTTTAGTTAATTTAATTTCACTTATAATCTTAAATATTATTCACAAATTTTAACTAGAGATAACTATATTATAATATTTTATTTAATTTCTATAATTATCATTAACCTTTTTTTAGTTTAAAAACTTAGCATATATGCCTAATTATCTAAATGAGTCTATGTCATTCAATATATTTTACAACAATGCATTGTATAAGTTGTAATTTTAGTTAAAAATTAGGTATAAATATATAAATAAGACTTATCTTACTCACTCGTTACTCTTAATATACCAAGAATAAGATTTAAAGACTAAAAATTTGCACATGCAACATTCTAGATCACAAGAAATTATTGTATAGTTTGAAATAACATGATTTCGTCCACTCAAATTTAAACATATGTCAGAAAATACATACATATCGCTTGTTTATTAGTCAGGACTATTATAATCTCAAATTATCTTATCTTGAATCACACGTAATAAAATATAAGTATGACATATGATATTATTAAAAAGAATCATGCGTTAAACTAACGAAAAAGAATCATTTGTGAGAAAAATGAATAATAAAGACCATTCGGGAAGAGCAACACCAAAAGTTTTATACCTTTATCTAAAAATAATTAGATTTCATTTTTTACAAACTTCAATCGGTGAAATTAGAAGTAAAATGAAAAAAAAAAATGCATGGCAAGTTGACTATTATTAAGGTTTTTAAAAGTTAATTTTACTATATTTTTTCCTTTTCACATTGCAAACGAAGCCGTTTGGGAGCTCATGGTGGTACTTACTTAACGTACCCATATGAACAATGTTGTTAAGTATTACCGAAAGTAAGCTAACATGATTGAAATTTTAGCAAGTGACTAAAATTAATGTTTTAATGAGTCAAGAGTCGAAATAAAAATGACATGTAAAATTGAAGAGTAAAGTAATAATTTACTTTTTATTTTTATTTTCACATTGCAGTAAAGATGTAAGATTAAGGAAAAGTACTTAAAAATAGATATCAGTGACACCGTAAGAAAAGAAAAAATATTAACTTTTTCTTTGGTAAATATCACAACGGAACAGTGATTATGTTCCAATCCTTTTTTTTAGATTATTTTAATAATCTTATTATAGTGGTCTATGTAACTTATAGTATGATTCTAATTAATGATTTAATGTGATGATGGTTAAATATAAAATATAGAGTCATTGAGGGTATAATTGTAAATACAATTATAAGGAAACCCTCTCCTCTCCCTTCAGATAAATAGAAGAGCAGTTACCAAATAGAGGTTACGGTATTCTCTATTTTTTCACTTTTACGGTCTTTGAGTGAGCTCACAATAAACGCAAAAAAAGAACTTTCTTTCAACCATTCGAGAGGAGCTAAAAGAGGAAGGAAGAGTTGGAAAAAATACCAAGAGATCAACGACATCAAAGAGAAATGTAACATCAAGGAACAATAGATTCAGGTTAGTGCTCTCTAAACTCTTAATTGTATGAAAACCATGTGTTGTGTTGTGAGAAAACATAATTCAAGATCTAATGGGAAATGGTAATTTCATAATAGTCATATCTAATGAAAATTACATGAAGGAATAAGAAAAATCTAACAGTTGGTATCATAGCGTGGTTGTGAATTTCGTTGATTAAGAGTTTGGTCAGTTCCAAGTGAATTACAACACCATTAAGGATAAATGGAACATATAGGAAATTAAGGTCATGCTGGTTCAAGAGGAAGGGAGGCTAAAGAAAGTGAAAGAACACTCTATCCATCTTATATTTCATGAAGGGCTTAGTAGTAGCAAGGTTAAGCCAGGTAAGAAAGATAACAAGGACAATAAGGATAAGGCCTTATTAAAGGTTCGTGAAGGCCGAATCTAGAAGGGCCAGAGGTGCTTCTTCTGTAAGAAGACTGGTCACTTCAAGAAAGATTGTCTGAAGAGAAAGGTTTGGTTCGAAAGGAAAGGGATTTCTTTCGATCTAGCCCATAAGTGGAACTAAAAAGTTCTTGTACATGGGGAACATAATGAAGGCACGGCTAAAATGAATAGAGACTTACAGATTGATCTTGCATACTGGTTGCTGCATAGATATAGAAAATTGTCTTTATGTTCCTGAATGTGCTAAAAATTTGGTTTCTGTTGCAAGGTTGGATGAAATTGATTTTAATTTTAAGATTGGAAATGAAATTTTTTCTTT